AAAGACAATAAATAATTTAAAATACGAAAAGGCAATGAATAAAATACCATTATATTATAATGTGCATTGATCCAATTCTAATTTTCATTCGTTTAGTTAATTTTACGAAGATGTCTTTTACGTCGTGAATCTTGTAAAGCTTATCATATCGAACTGTTCCGAAACACGCGAGTTTATGCAAATCGAAGAAGTATAAAACTGTCATGCAACTAAATTGGCAACGAAATCTTGGTTTTCTTGTATTCTTTGTTAGGTTTCTGTGACATTTAATAAAATGCAAGCATATATTTCAAAGCATTTTATTTCGCAAATGATTATAGATATGTAATAAGTTATTTCTTATGTTGACATACTAGTTGAAGCAAATAATTAAATTCTTTATAATTATGCAAAATTTGTAAATATATACAAAATCTTATTTAAAATTTTTAAATGTAATGTCGCATTAAGTAATTTAAAGTTTTAAAATTAATTTAGAGAAGAAGTAAGAATCAAAAATTCAAAAAGAATCATATATTTTAATATAATTATTAAAAAATCGAAACCATATAAAAAATGGAACTTATTTTGCTATAATCACTGTATTTTAAATTATTGTCATCTTATAAATTCATTGTTATTGCATTGTGAAAAGGGGTACCAGCTTGAAGTGCAGCGGTGATTTTTATACGGATACGGAAACATATTCAGCGTACATACCTTATGAGGGTCAGCATCGTGCTGAGCTCATACGCCGACCTACATCCCTGAAAATGGAAGGTGATTTGGACACCATGACGGAAAAGTGCGAGAAATTTATCGAGTGGCTCAACGTTAGCCGACCGGAACTCATGCGTGTACCCACCCACTTGAAGATGGAGGGTGAGTTGGAAACAGCAACGGAAAATCAAGACAAATACGTCCCTTTCGTGGGGGCACGAAGGCCAGAATTGTTAAGGCGAAGCACGAACTTAAAACTTGAGGGGGATACTTACTTTATGCCGGAATATACCGATGTGTTTAGAGACTACAGCGTCAAAGGTAACAGCATTAAATTAAAAGTAATATGATTATTAAATAATTTATAACAATAATTTAATTTTAAAAAATATATATATAATAATTTAAATTAAAAAATTTTATTTTCATAGCTATAAATTAAGGAAAATTTTAAAGAATATTAATTTATATTTATATTTATTTA